TGGTAGCCTTGGTGTGTTGAGAAAATGGAGATTGGAGTTTAGGGAGACTAAGGTGGGTGGAATTTTCAGTGCAACAAAACAGAAAAGAGAAAGCTGTATCAAGAAATAGCTCCATAAATCTTCATAAAGATCAACTAAATACTAAGCCGTTAATGTGTAGCATGTGATACCATGAGGCTGGGAAAAGAACAACAACTAGGGCTAAAGCAGCTATCAGGGTTAACAGCTACCATAGCTTGCATAAAGTTAGAAATATTTGAGTTCTGACCAAACAGACTGGAGAGACCTTGCTGAACCCTTCAGGTGACCAGTAGAGACTCCAGAAAGGTGACTCTTGAAAGACCTAAAATAAAAGATACTGTAGACTCACCCTACCAAAGCTTTAAAACAAGCCTTAATCCTGAATAGAGCAGGAGAAAGGTGGGGTGCAGAACTCAAATTCTAGGAAGAAGACCAGACTTAATGTTCTGACTGAGACTGGAGGAACCGCGGAAAGCGTGGACCCTGGATTCTCTATTAGCCCAGAACTGAAACAGTTTCCAAAGCCAACTCTTCAGACAGGGATTGGACTGAACTGTGGGACATAAAGTGATACTTGTGAGGAGTGTGCCTCTTAGGTCAAGTAGATACAAGAGACAAAACAGGCAGCTTCTGTCAGGAGGTGAGATGGGAAGGCAGAGACGGTTAGGAGCTGGTTGAATGGACATGGGGAATCAGGGGTAGAAAGGAGGAGTGTGCTGTCACAGTATGGGGAAAGCAATTAGAGTCACATAACAATGTATGTATAAATTTTTGCATGGGAAAAAATGAAAAAAATAATAAACCTTATAAGAATCAAGCTGTTCTATAGGTAGATTAACTGCCTGTCAACTTCAAACTCAACCCCACATCACACCACATACAAACATTAACTTAAAATGGATCAATGACCTAAATATAACAGCTAAAACTATAAAACTTTTAGAAGAAAACATAGGGGTAAATTTTCAGGACCTTGTATTTGACAATGAAGATTTAGATACAACACCAAAAGCAGGAGCAACAAAAACAAAACAGATAAATTGGATTTCATTTGAAAATGGTAAACTTTTGTGCATCAAAAGACATCATCAAAAAAGTGAAAAGATAACCTAAAGAGTGGTAGAAAATATTTGGAAATAATACATCTGATAAGGGTTTAATATCTAAATATATTAAAAACCCCCACAAGTCAACAACAAAATGACAGCCCCATAAAAAAATGGGCAAAGAATTTGGATATTTCTCCAAAGAAGATATACAAATGTCCAATGAACATATGAAAAGATGCTCAACATCATTAGTCATTAGGGAAATGCAAATCAAAACCACAATGAGATACTACTTCACACCCACTAGGATGATGATTATCCAAAAAATGGAAAATAACAAGTGTTGGTGAAGATGTGAAGAAACTGGAACCTTTGTTCATTGCTGGTGGGAATGTAAAATGGCACAGCTACTGTGAATAACAGTTTGGCAGTTCCTCAAAAGTTAAACATAGAATTGTCATATGACCCAGCAATTCCACTCCTGAGTATATACCCAAAAGACTTGAAAGCAGGGACTCAGATACTTGTACACCATTGTCCACTGCAGCATTATTCGCAATAACCAAAAGGTGGAAACAACCCAAGTGTCTATCAACAGATGAATGGATAAACAAAATGTGGTATATATGTACAATGGCATATTATTTTGTCATAAAAAGGAATGAAGTTCTAACACATGCTTCGACATGGATGAGCCTTGAAAACCTTATGCTAAATGAAATAAGCCAGACAAACGAGGGCAAAATGTTATATGATTCCACTTATATAAAATATCTAAAATAGGCAAATGCATAAAGACAGAAAGTAGATTGGTGATTACCATGGGTTGGGGGCAGGGAAAATGCAATTAATCCTTAGTAGGTATAAAATTTTCATTTAGGGTGATGAAAGAGTTTTGGAAACAAATAGTGGTGATGGTTGCACAACGTTGTGAGTGTGAAAATGTTTTTATGTTGTGTGTATCTTATCAATAAAAAACACTCTTGAAAGGAAGACAACAATGCAAACACTCGACAATGTAAAATTTACGTAGTCAATCCATAATTACTAGATATGTAAAGAAGTAGGACTATGTGACCCATAATCAAGAGAAAAATCAGGCAATAGAAAAAGATGCAGAAATGATGAATTATCAGATAAGACCTTTAAAATGGATATTATACAATCAAACACTTTGAGAGACAGAGTAGCAGGTGTAGGGGTCTAGGGAGCATGCTTTCAGGGGACATCTAGGTCAATTGGCATAACAAAGCTTATTAAGAAAATGTTCTGCATCCTACTTTGGTGAGTGGCTTCTGGGGTCTTA